GAGAAATTCTCAGATATTTACTAGATGTGTTTGTAGTAATACGAGTCTAAATCGTTATGAAGATAGTGGTAAGTTGTTTTTGAGTGTTTTTTTTGTGGATGCATGCCTAGGTAGGCTAACAGCGGTAGTAGGCACATGTTGGTGATTTCTCTTGTAATCCACAAAAGGTATCAGTTTGTTAGATTTGAATCTTCCCTATTTTTTTAATGGTGCATTTTTCTGATGTACTAGAGTGATGTGTTTTGTGCAACTTTTCGTGCCTAGAATACAAAACTGCCTGCTATTCAAGTGTCTCTAGATCTGGTACAGCCAAAACAAGCAAGTGTTGTCCTGAAAAAAACAAGCAAGTGCTGAACTTTCTATGCCTAGAATATAAACGTGTCCGGACTATTTTTTTCTAGTTACTAGTTGTATCTACTAATGGCCTCAAGTACAGTAGAGGGGTTAGTAATCCTTAGTCCTGGTGGTAGTCAGACTTAGCCAGGGGGAAACAGGATAAGCAGAGTACAGTAAGTCATAGCAGAGGCAAGGGAGGTCACTTAGGTTCAGTGTAGTGTTGAAGTAGGCGAGTATATGTATGCGTAGATGTAGATTGAGTGTACTGTGTTGTCTATAGTTCATGAACTTTTCAGTGTTGTTGTTTGATGTAGTTCTAGAAGGCTTTTCAGTGTCGTGATATTTTCGTACAAAAACATGCTTGTAGTTCATGCCGTGAGACTAGCCAGTATTTTTGCATATGTCTTTTGTGTGTGAGCTGCTTGCTTGCTGTAATATTTCTTCCATACTAGGGGTCTACAATTTTGATTATCTGAGAGGGTCAACTTCAGTTTTGAAATGAAGCAATTCGTTTTGCCGACAGTTTTGCCATAGTCCTTTTTTAGTGTTCAACCAGCAGATTTACATGTTGTTTTGATGTATATTCTTGATTTTTCTGCTGCCCGTGCTTCATTTATAAATGGTTCTATTTTTTTTTTCATTTTTTGTCATTTTTCTGAGTGTTTTGAAATAGGATCAGTGGAGTTGTTTATATAGTTCTAGCAGATTTTTTGCTGATACTATAGTTTTTTATTTTAAAAAAATCAGTGTAGTAATTTGTACACAAGCATGTTGTAGTTCTTTTATAGTTGTTGGTCGAATTCACTTTTTAAGTTTAGTGTTTTGATGGTAAGGGATGTTAGCATCCCCACAGGAGTATAATTTTATTTTTTATGTTTAATTGGGACAATTCTATTATGGCACCACTTTTTTTTTCCTTTTTTGCTTGACCAGGATGCTTCGCCCAGTTTGCTTTTCCGCATTGTCGTCAGAGCTTCAACATGTATCTTCGCAATGCTGATGAAACCTTCATAGAGAAGTTTCATGGGGATGGGTCTTCTATTTTTTGATGCCAGTTTGCAAGTTGACCCTCGACTTGTAACAAGGTTCCTTGTTTCATTCCACTTGTAAGTGGACCCTCGACGTGCAACTGGGTCTTTTGTTTGATGCCGCTTGCAAGTCGCCCCTCGACCTACAACGAGGACTTATGTTTTCATACCACTTGCAAGTGGTCCCTTGACTTGCAACTAGGTCTTCTGTTTTCATGCCATTTGCATGTGGACCCTCGACCTGCAACTGGGTATTCTCTTTTTCATGCCAATTGCAAGTGGATCCTCGACTTGCAACTTGGTCTTTTTATTTGATGCCACTTGCAAGTGGCCCCTCGACTTGCAACTCTGTCTTCTATTTTTTTGATGCCACTTGTAAGTGGACCCTCGACTTGCAACCGAGTTCCTTTGTTTTTCATGCCACTTGCAAGTGGACCCTCAACTTGCAACTACGTCTTCTTTTTTTATGCCACTTGCAAGTGGACCCTCAACTTGCAACAGGGTTCCTTTGTTTTTCATGCCACTTGCAAGTGGACCCTCGACTTGCAACCATGTCTTCTTTTTTTATACCACTTGCAAGTGGCCCCTCGACTTGCAACCGGGTTCCTTTGTTTTTCATGCCACTTGCAAGTGGATCCTCGACTTGCAACCAGGTCTTCTTGTTTTGATGCCACTTGCAAGTAGACCCTCGACTTGCAACTGGGTCTTTTCTTTTTCGTGCCACTTGCAAGGGGACCCTCGACTTGCAACTGTGTTCTTTTTTGTTTCATGCCACTTGCAAGTCGATCCTCAACTTGCAACTGTGTC